CCTAACATAGTGCTGGGTACATAGAAAATATTAACTAGTGTTAACCTGCTGGAAGAAATGGAAGAGTCCTCAAAGGTAAGAATCATTAACTTGATTCCAAGAACAGAGCTCTGATTTTCACCATTCTTGCTATTCAGACTCCCCAATTTTTGTGGGTGAGTGGATTGAACTAGGTGGCCTCTGTCCACCTCTAATATTTTATCAGCCCTGGAGTCCACCAACAAATAAAAATATGTTGCTAAGTGCTTTAAATAGGTTATCTTGATTAATCATTAAAACCTTGGGAGGACTATTGGTAGCCAACACACATAGTATTGCTGGGTACTACTCTGAGAGTTACATGTGTTAACCCATTTCATACTCATAATAATACTCATGTGATCTCCATGTTACAGCTAAAAAAACTGAGGCATAGATAGACTGGCTCAAGTTCACACAGCTGGGAGGTGGGAGATCTGGGCTTCAAACACAAGCAGTTTGATTCCAGAATTTGTGATTTTGACCTCTACATGCACTGCCTCAGAAGAGGTAGATCTTTTTTTCTTAATCTCCAGTTCATGAATAAGACAAATTTGCTGAAGGTCACACAATGGTAGGTGAGAGAAACCAGGATAAGAATTCAGACTTGTCCGACACCAATATCTGCGCTTTTTCTGCTGCACCATGCCACGGGAGTGTGTTCCAGGAGTGGGGAGAGGAGCAGGCATATGAGGCCTATGGGAAAGCTTTAGGCACTCTGATCTAACAAGATGGAGCTCTGGATACCACACGCCTTTCTGTCATCTACCTCTGCCACTGCCACATTTAGTGACGCGTCCCCCTTGGGAGGGCAGCAGTCGCTCCATCCCTCAGTCTCTGAGTCCAGAGGGAGTTTCTTGGGGATGCAGACATTAGTAACCAGAGATGTCCCTAACACTCAAACCTGTCCTGCTTGGTGCTGGCTTTCTGTCTTGGTTCTGGCTCTACGAAAATGGATGGTCTAGCTCCATCTCCTTCAAATCATCTGTGTTGCTTAGCGATCTAAGGAACAACAGCTGCTAATGACCACTGTATCTGAATTTGGAGAGCAGAAACCATTGTCATCATGAGTTCTTTAGCTCAGTGGAAGCCAAGATCACTAATTACATTTATATCTCTAACTTCTGTACATGGTGCTTTGGCAAATGCTATACAGATCAAACTGAACGGTGCCTGTTTTCAAAGAGTGTATACACCATGTCATCTTTGTAAATGAGTCCAAGTTACAGGTGTTTTCTGGAAACACAATTAAAATAACATTTCACAACGCAAAATAGACTTGGGTATAAAGATTTTAAAATAATTTCATATAGATATTTTAATAATAGAACAGCCCTATACTACTGTCCCCAAAATGTCCTAAAACATCACCCATCAGACAATGTCCCTACGTTATTCAATACCCCACAAATTGAGAAAAACTCTCAGCCTGGCATTCCAGGACTCATCAATGAGACTAGTCTTCTCCTTCAGCCGCATACCCCGTGTTGCCTGCACACCACTCTTAGAAACAAGACAAACCAAACGCTGTTTCAAGAGTACAGCCTGCATTTTCTGCTACCAAGTGGTTGTTCATGTAGCTGCTTCTGTGATGTCCTGACTCAAACTACATTTCAGCCTCTCCTTCAAGTCACATCTCGAATACCACCATTTTCATGAAGGCTTTCCGCACCCCTTCAAATAAAAATGATCTCGTCCCCTTCTGAACCACCAGAGTTGCTTGTGTTATAGGCATACATAGATATTTATGTACGTATGTATATGCATATAACACTTTTATTATGATGATTTATATTATGACCTTTTGGCGTGTTTACCTAATTTCCCAAATTAGGATGTAAACTCCTAAAGATCAGGGAGCATGGTTTACTTCTGAAGTTTCCTTTATAACTTTATATGGTGCTTGCCACACAGGAATTCAATAAACGTTTACTGAATTGTTATTTTATTAATAATGCTAATGATATAGTGATCTTTTACGGAGTATCAACTATTGGTCGAGGATGACATTTATATATTGTATCTAACTTAATATTGAAACTCCTGTGATAGGAAATGGAGGCTTAACAAGCTTAAATAAGTTGTTCAAGGTCACCCAGCAAGTAGAGTTCCCAACTGTTAATATAACAGCAGGGTGTACTTTGGATCTGAATCCAAATTTGTTAGACTCCAAACCTGAGCCCCAAAATCAGTACTTTATAAAAGTGGTAACATTGAAAAAAATATAGCTTTTAATTTTTAGATAAATAAATTTAGCAAGTATAAAAGAAAATCAAAGTTTGTGGTACTGAGGAGAGCTACTTTTCAAAATTAATCTAAAGCATTAGAAATGAGTTTCAAAGGTTAAAAATATAAATATTATGAAGAACCTTTATCACTGCCATCCAAGAAATATAAGAGATGGAGAGACTGAGGTATGTATTGAGAAGAATGATTTGAGTAAACCAAATTTGCATATTGTAACAAAAAAGACAAAGGCCTGGGAGTTTGATTAGGGTTAAAATTCTGGGTATAACCTTTTTAGGTCTGGTCCTTGGGCAAGTTGCTTCATCTTTATAAGTCTCAGTTTTTCCAAATGGTAGGTGACAATAATAATTGCAAATAGTAGATGTGTATAGGGTACGTAACTCAACAAATGATGGCTGTGCTAAGCTGATGTTCTCGAAAGGAATGGAAAAGCAGAGCTGCCATGTGTTCCCAACTTCTCACATCGGGAGTGCGCTATCCAAAGAGCAGAAGGGGCAACAAGGGCCAGAGCACAGCCATCCTTCAAAACCTAGTCTTTCTTTCTCTGCAGACTGACGCCCAAATTCTTTGTCTTGTAGCTGAAGCACTGAAAGTCAAAACATGTAAATCAAGTTGGATCCTGCCCTGATGCCTGTCCATCAGCCATCTCTGGCTCCCTTCAGAGAACATGTTCTTTGGAAGTACTGAGGGCAGCACGGCATCTGGCACCAGTCTCATGGGCATACAAACACCACACCCACCATTTTTGTTTTCCATGTTTCTAGTTTATTATCTGATCCTCAATGTCCTCCAATGTTAAGTGGAGACAGTATCTGCTGGAAGGGCTGCTCTGAGAAGTCTATGCGGCTATGATGACTCTGTGCCCAGCACAGAGTAGGCCCTCCGTAATGACTAACTAATTCCCTTTCCCCTCCTCTGTTCCCCATAAGTGGAGAATAATCAAAATCTCCGCCAATATGTTAATGTCACTAACTGGCACCTGCCACTGTAGATAGATGGTTAGGATCTGAAAAGTGCTGTCTCATTTAAATAAAACACAGAATGGTAATTACCAAGGGACAAGTTACAGACATTATTGATTATGGTTGTAACCCAACCAGTGTCCCGAAGATGACAAGCTTTTTTCTTTAAAAAAAAAGAAAAAAAAATCCCTGAGCTATTTAGTTTCCAGAAAACATGTGCCCAGAAGCTCAACATCTGCAGAAAGTGAAAAGGGCCTCGAGAAATGCCAACTTTTTCCCTTCCAGCTTTTCAAATGGAGGTGAGGGAACACAAACAAACATGAAGCTGGATTCTGGGTTTCTGACACATTTTCGTGAATTACAATAAAAAAAACACCAAACATTTTCTGGTACAAGGGCCAGCACTTCTCAAACCCATTTGCTGGAGTGATTTTGAAGTCACAGTACTCACGGTAAACAAAGTTACTCTGAAGTTAGTAAGAAGTTCCTTGCTTTGTTCCTAGATTTCCATTATGTGTGCTAGGCACTTTTCAGTATTTTGTAAATTATTAAATCATTTCCCCTAAAATCCAAGAAAACATGAATATCCAAACCTAATACATATGACAGATGTTCTTAACATTTATTATTGTGATTTACACATTCAGCCTCTAAAAATAACACTTTCCTTTCATTTCCCTGTTCATTTTTTAATTTCCTATTTGTTATCTGTTATCTGTTGAGGGAGGGAGGAAGAGAAGAAAGGAGGAAGGAACAGAGGCAGGCAGTGCCACAGAGGAAGGGAACCTCCAATAATTTGACAATACTACAGGAACCATAATGTTTTCTGAAGAAATACCACCAATTCTCCTACCAATAACTTTGCACCATATTCACATATGTAAATTATATTATTATTATCCTAATAACTACATATGTATATGGATGCGT